TAGGATATGTCTTTTCAGAGCTGCTGTGTACTCAGAACTGGAGTAGAAGTCAATACATTATCTATGCTAGTGAAGTGGGAGCTGTGGATGCTTAGTAGGGATGGAAAGGGGTTTTGGTAGGTATCTATCTTGGTGAGATCCTGTGGAACTGATTATTTTAATGCTGCTGAGATTTGATTGGTGGTATTAATGATGTGTTAGGGTGCCTAGAGCCTTGGATAGGTATCTATCTTTTTAATTATTTAGTTATTTAAATCTGAATAAACACAGTAAAATAAAGGCACAGCTCCTTGCCCCAAAGAACTTAGTCTAATTTAGACATACATGGATGCGAGGGAGGGGAGAGAGAGAGTGACATCAATAATAACCCTAACCCAAACATGGCTACCCCCTGATACTTTTTCCTCAGATTTGTCACCTAAAAAGAATGGCTCAGGTTTGGGAATCTCCCTCACATCCTCAACCGTGAAGACCGATGCAAAGAATTCATTTAGTTTCTCTGCAATGGCCTTATCATCCTTGAGTGCTCCTTTAGCATCTCGATCGGCCAGTGGCCCCACTGGGTTGTTTAGGAGGCTTCCTGCTTCTGATGTACTTAAATTTTCTTTTGCTATTACTTTTTGAGTCTTTGGCTAGCTGTTCTTCAAATTCTTTTTTGGCCTTCCTAATTATATTTTTACATTTCATTTGCCAGAGTTTATGCTCCTTTCTATTTTCCTCATTAGGATTTAACTTCCACTTTTTAAAGGATGCCTTTTTGCCTTTCACAGCTTCTTTTACTTTGTTGTTTAGCCACAGTGGCTCTTTTTTAGTTCTCTTACCATGTTTTTTAATTTGGGGTATACATTTAAGTTGAACCTCTGTTGTGGTGTCTTTAAAGCAGTTTGCAGGGATTTGCTTTTGTTGCTGTAGTTTTTAATTTCTGTTTAACTAACCTCCTCATTTTTGTGTAGTTTCCTTTTCTGAAATTAAATGCTACAGTTGTCATAAATATAAAGGGAAGGATAAACACCTTTAAAATCCCTCCTGGCCAGAGGAAAAACCCTTTCACCTGTAAAGGGTTAAGAAGCTAGGATAACCTCTCTGGCACCTGACCAAAATGACCAATGAGGAGACAAGATACTTCCAAAGCTGGAGGGGGGAAAAAAACAAAGGTTCTCTCTGTCTGTGTGATGCTTTTGCTGGGAACAGAACAGGAATGGAGTCTTAGAACTTAGTAAGTAATCTAGCTAGATATGCGTTAGATTCTGTTTTGTTTAAATGGCTGATAAAATAAGCTGTGCTGAATGGAATGTATATTCCTGTTTTTGTGTCTTTTTGTAACTTAAGGTTTTGCCTAGAGGGATTCTCTATGTTTTGAATCTGATTACCCTGTAACATATTTACCATCCTGATTTTACAGAGGTGATTCTTTTACTTTTTCTTCAATTAAAATTCTTCTTTTAAGAACCTGATTGCTTTTTCATTGTTCTTAAGATCCAAGGGTTTGGGTCTGTGTTTACTTATGCAAATTGGTGAGGATTTTTATCAAGCCTTCCCCAGGAAAGGGGGTGTAGGGTTTGGGGAGGATTTTGGGGGGAAAGACGTTTCCAAGCGGGCTCTTTCCCTGTTCTATATTTGTTAGACGCTTGGTGGTGGCAGCAGTAAAATCCAAGGGCAAAGGGTAAAATAGTTTGTACCTTGGGGACGTTTTAACCTGAGCTGGTAAAAATAAGCTTAGGGGGTTTTTCATGCAGGTCCCAACATCTTTACCCTAGAGTTCACAGTGGGGAAGGAACCTTGACAACAGCGTTGGGTCACTGTGGTGTTTTCCCCACCACAGGGATCTTACATTTAATTATATTATGGTCACTATTACCAAGCGGTCCAGCTATATTCACCTCTTGGACAAGATCCTATGCTCCACTTAGAACTAAATCAAGAATTGCTTCTCCACTTGTGGGTTCCAGGACTAGCTGCTCCAAGAAGCAGTCATTTAAGTTGTCAAGAAATTTTATCTCCGCATCTTTTCCTGAGGTGACATGTACCCAATCAATATGAGGATAGATGAAATCCCCCATTATTATTGAGTTTTTTAAAATTTTAATAGGCTCTCTAATCTCCCTGAGCATTTCACGGTCACTATCACCATCCTGGTCAGGTGGTCGGAAATATATCCCTACTGCTAATTCTTATTATTAGAGCATAGAATAACTATTCATAGAGATTCTGTGCTACAGTTTGGTTCATGTAAGATTTTTACTTCATTTGATTCTACGCTTTCTTTCGCATATAGTACCACTCCCCCACCAGCACAATCTGTTCTGTCCTTCCGATATATTTTGTACCCTGGTATTACTGTGTCCCATTGATTATCCTCATTCCATCAAGTTTCTGTAATGCCTATTATATCAATATCCTCATTTAATATGAGGCACTCTAGTTCACCCATCTTATTATTTAGACCAGTGGTTCTCAAACGAGGGGCGCCGCTTGTTCAGGGAAAGCCCCTGGTGGGCCGGGCTGGTTTGTTTACCCGCTGCATCCACAGGTTTGGCCGATCGCAGCTTCCACTGGCCACAGTTTGCCCCTGCAGAAAGCGGTGCTGGCCGCCCTTCCTGCATCCCCCATTGGCCTGGAGCACTGAACCGCAGCCAGTGGGAGACGCGATCCGCCGCACCTGCGGACGCAGCAGGTAAACAAACCAGCCCGGCCCGCCAGGGGCTTTCCCTGAACAAGCAGTGCCCCTAGTTTGAGAACCACTGATTTAGGCTTCTAGCATTGGTATATAAGCACTTTGAAAACTTGTCACTTTTTAGCTGTCTCCCATTACATGATGTAATTGAATGAGACTATTTTTCATCTGACTGTTTCTGATCAGATCCTACCTGTATTTTATCATCTTCCATCCTCTCGTCCTTACTAGGACATAGAGAATCTCCATGAATAGATCCTCCCCTAAGTGATGTCTCTGTCCGAACCATGTGGTCCTCCGCACCTGTCGGCTTTCCTCCAGCCCTTTGTTTAAAAACTGCTCTATGACCTTTTTAATTTTAAGTGCCAGCAATCTAGCCCAATTCTAGCCCAAAATGAAACACATTGCCCACGTTACATCTGTTAGTGGTTACTAAATGTTGCTTTATATTGAAGAGAGCAATTCATGGGTGCAGCCACGCAGGAACCTAAAATGTCACAGGGAAGAGTCAGAAATTCTTATGTCAATGAATGCAACATTTGAAATTTTAGTTAGCTAAAATGTGTGAAAGTTCCCTAATGAGCAGGCATACAACGAGACCCGTGTGTGGAAGATTTTCAGATGAGTTTACTGACATTAGTTTACGGGAATAAAAAGGTTGTTTTTGGTCAAACTCATGCCACAATTTGGGGACTGTTCAACCATCAGCAATTCACATGTGTGTGTCTCTTAATGTGCATTTTAGGAAACTGCAGCATCTGAGTGTAACTCCATTTTGCATGGAGACAGCTGTTAGCCACTTAAACACAGAGTGGTATTCCAGTTTGGTGATAGATATGTGTGTATATCATGGATCAGAAAATATTGATTTACTGTAGGATTCTTTACAGGCATCTATTGCTGTGGTACTTGGCTGCATGTCTTCAAAATAAATACATCAGACACTAATTTAAACTGCCTGGAAGATGTAACATTAAACAAATGCTTAATCAAATAGATGTCATACACCATGTTCTGAAGGCCAACAAACTCAAGTTCTGGAAGGTGGCCGGGGGAGTGGGTTCCACAGCCAAGTGTTTTCCACAGAACCCCCCCACCAGTTCCAGCCCTCCACCATCCACATCTAAAGACTGTTGATAAATGAGATGTCAGCCATTGTTATCTGTAAGGTAGCTAGATCCCTGATTATATAGACCTCTACAGATTAGTACCAGTAACTTGAACTGCATTGGGAAAGAGATGGGAAGCCCCTGCAGTTTGCAGAGCATAGGTCTAATGTGTTCACTCTCCATTTAACTGATTAGATGGATTGCTGCATTCTGTACTGGCTGAAGCTTCAATTGGTGTTAGGCCACATCCATAGAGCACATTGTAGGGTACCAACCTAGAGGCAGGAAGATCCTGGAGAGATGTGGTACAGTCAGCATTATCAAGTCACTACACTTCTCTAAGAAGCCAAGAGCAGACAGGTCAAAAATAATTGAAAACGGCAAGCTTCTTTGACTAGGGAATGAGCAGACACAGCCCCCACCAATTCCTGACACTGATTCCCCTTCCAGTCAGACTCACCTCTATCTTTACAGGATAGTGTTTCAGTTGTGTCAGTCTCCTCCAGATCCATGTCTCAAGCAGGCACAGGGAAAGCAAAGAACCTGTGCCATCAGGATCTGACATAAAGGAGCCAAAGAGGTGTAATGTAGTGCATCGATGGCACTGGACTCATATTCAGCTGGTGAAATGACAGAATGGAACCTCTGAGAAACCACATGTGGGGATATGGATGGATGAGAAGTGACTCTTAGAGATGTCTTAGACTGGAAGGAATGAAGCCACTATCCCCATCTACCTTACCAGATCCTGCAAGCTTGTCAGAAATGTGTTCAGTACATTTTGGCCAGCTATATCAAAAGCTGTTGACAGATCTAATCAAATCAACTTAGACATTTAACCTTTAGAATTGACCCCTTCACGAACGTGGCAGGATCCTTTCCAAATTAGAATATCATTACAATAATACCTAAAACTAGAGTAGAGACTGGTATCATCAGTTGGGGCTTATAGGTGCTACTGGGTTGGAATACAAAAAATAACCAATAGTAAATACAACAGCATTATTATTATAAAAATGTAATAGAGAAGAGTGATTTCTAGTGTTTTCAACGGTTTTAGTGGAAGTGTTTTGATTATTAATTATATAGCTTTTGTACCTCAGTTAAAACAACACCACAGAAGAGAACGTATGTTGGATACTGCTTGCTTACTCATGTGGTGGACTTTTACAACGTGAAGTCACAACCTTAGATCTATTTTTTTTTCCCCTTGACAGAAAGATTTCGAGATTTACTGCTTCACCATTCAAGTCAGGACACAGAGATTCTACCCAACTTTCAACAAAGGAATTACCCCACGTAAGTAAATTGCCTCTTCAGGAAAACCAGTCTTTGTGAATTCATAGTGAGGGAGAGAAGCATTTATAGCACTATAAATGCTTTCAGCATAAGCTCCTAAGGCAGAGCTGTCAGGGAGCCTCCCATAGAATAAGCTTTGTGCTCTTCACAGCTGCAACAGGAAGAAACAGACATATCTTGCAAGTGCACCCAGCTGTCACAGCGGAGTCAGTGGCAGAGTGTGGATGATAAGCTGCATGGATCAGTGTCTGGTGGAGCTTCATTTCACTTGACATTATATGTCGACATAGGCAGATGTTTTGTCACACTAATCCCCACTCTTGTCTTGTGGGATTCCATCATTCGTGCTGACAGACTCATTTGGATTTTAACAAGCTATCCTATGGAATCATGTGAGTGCTAAAAACAGTTTGACTGCCCTTGTTAGGGACACGTGGGCAGCCAAACCAAAGGAACAGCCGTGCATGCTAGGGAGCAAGCAGTACAGCATCCTCTCATGTTATGCTTCTCTATTATAAAAGCAATGCCATAAGTGATGTGGGGGAGTTAAGAGATTACCCCCGTTAGAAAGTTTCTGTCTTTCAGCCTCTAAATCCATTCAAAGATTTTAATGTGACGTATCTCCCTTAAACATTGCTCCCAACAAAAATCTCATACCGTGCAATAATGTGTCATTTTACTGAGTGTCTTGATTTAGTTGGGGTGGTCCTTCTTTGAGCAGGAGATGACCTCCTGAGGTCTCTTCCAACCCTAATCTTCTATGATTCTAATGCTATTCCTACAAAGCTAAAGAAAAGCAGAGTTAGATAATAAATAACATTTTTGCCGACTTAATTAAAACAAAGAGCAAAAAGAAAATTGAGTCACATGAAAAAAGAAGGAAAGTGCTTTCAGCAGAGGGTTGAGTCAGTGAGGGGGAAAGACATGGGAAGGCTGTTCCAGATGGCAGGGGCTGCGGAAGTGAAGGTTCTTTCCCGAGCCATGGCCAGATTGCGTGGATGAATGGCAAGAAGGCCAATGTTAGATGAACAGGGGGAGCAGGGCTGGGGAGGAGAGGTACGTGAGAACGGCTGGAGCAAGTCCAAGAGTAGTTTTGAAAACAAGCGGGCGATTTTTTAACTGAATCCTGAAATGAATGGGAAGCTGTTTGCTGTTTGCTGTAACTCTTGTGTACTGTAAATTAAAATTTCAGGCTTAATTTCAAAATGGGATTAAAGTGCACTATGGAATTTTAATGCGCAGCAGCAGGGTCCACATTGGTAGTTAATGTGTGGCAGGGTAGTGCAAGCTAGATTTACACCCAGCTTGCTGTGCACCAAGTTTGTATGGGCAAGCCCTTATTTTTCTAGAACATGCAATAATTAAAGAGTTAGATGTTCATGACTTGCTGAAAAAAAGACATGTCCCATGAGCACAAAAATCTTAAAATACCTAGGGTAAAATCGTGGATTCACTGAAGTTGATGGAAAGTCAGCGCCATTGACTGTCTGAAAGCCAGTATTTCATTGCCAAAACCTACCTGTTTTGTGGATTTGTACTGCAGACCATCATCAGAGTATCTCAGTGCCTTCCATGTAAAACAGATGGGATAACAATATTCCTAGTAACCTTTATGGAGGCTCTGGTTGGGCTCCCTTTTTGTAGTATTGACACTGTTTGGGCTATGGTCAGTTTTTAGTTTTGGTTTGTTGCTTCGTTGCACTCTTGAATAGTTTTGCCCATAGTTCTCTTCTTTGCCTTGCCCTTCCCTTTTTGGTTTCACAGGCACGTTCTCTTCCCCGGTGTAATTTGCTTGGTTCTAATTATAGCAGTGATGACACTGGCGGACCGATTCAATTATGTTCGTGTTCTATAAAGAATTATGTACTGAGGAATAAACAAAGACATAGGTGTTTTTATTTTTTGCAGTCAAGGTCTCTGACTATGTCACTGTGTAAAAACAGTAAGATTTATGGCTGGTATTCCTGAAGGTACAGTATACTTGTAGTGTAACTAATGGCTAGGTCTGCAGAGATGCTGAGCAGTTGCAATTCTTTGCTGAAGTCAGTGAGAACTGCAGGTCCTCAGCCTCTCTGAAAATCATGCAGTAAATTATTTGCACCAGAATCTCAAGCTGTTTATATTACTGAGCTGTAATGCTGTTTTAAATTGTAATGTTCCCGCATTATCGTACAACAATATGATTGGCTGAACATGTACCATTGCTTGACTAGAATGATTGATCCTAACACATGGAATCAGCCAGGGTTTGGCAGCTAATTAAAAAAATTCTTTACAGATGTTTTCATAAGTAATTGACTGCCGCTTATAATGTCATTAATCAGTACAAAATTGTTTGCTTGTTACCGACACGAGTCATTGGCTGCAGTTCATTTACAAACTGGTTGGTGATTATTGATGCATCCTGATTTCTCTGGGAGTTCTGGTAGAAGCATACATTTGAGCTCATCAATATGGGGAACGTAGTCAGCCTCATAATATAGGCCATACCCTCATTCCCCTTTAACCTTTTTCCTATTCTGTGCCGATTTCCATTGTATGGAAGTTGAGACCATATAAAGCCAGATCCTGTAAATCAGCACCTCTGCATTGACTTCAGTTGAACAACACTTCTTTGCATTAGCTGAGGATCTGGCCCATAAATTCATCTTAATATGAAGGCGTCATGGGATCTAGGTAGTTTGCAGAACTCATAGAGAGAAAGCCTGGAAACAAGAAAGGAAAAATTGTGAATAGCTTAACTAAGTAATGTCCAGTGGTGGGAGGGTGAACGTGAGACCAGCTGACAAATATTCGATGGGTGTAAGCACCAAAGAAAGAGAATGGGAACTAAAGATCCCTAGCACCTCTCTCTAGGTCCTTGCTACCTCATAGTCTCAGGTTCTCGCTTTACTAATGTAATAAGTTTATGAATTCTGAGCTTGTCAAGTCACCTGTCTGTGCCTGCTGTCTGTGGCAGTGAAAAAGGAGAAGAGAGAAAGGAGGGTTGTAAGCAGATTCATAGTTAGTGTCATAAATATAAAGGGAAGGGTAAACCCCTTTGAAATCCCTCCTGGCCAGGGGAAAGCTCCTCTCACCTGTAAAGGGTTAAGAAGCAAAGGTAACCTCGCTGGCACCTGACCAAAATGACCAATGAGGAGACAAGATACTTTCAAAAGCTGGGAGGAGGGAGAGAAACAAAGGGTCTGTGTGTCTGTCTATATGCTGGTTTCTGCCGGGGATAGACCAGGAATGGAGTCTTAGAACTTTTAGTAAGTAATCTAGCTAGGTATGTGTTAGATTATGATTTCTTTAAATGGCTGAGAAAAGAATTGTGCTGAATAGAATAACTGTTTCTGTCTGTGTATCTTTTTTGTAACTTAAGGTTTTGCCTAGAGGGGTTCTCTATGTTTTTGAATCTAATTACCCTGTAAGGTATCTACCATCCTGATTTTACAGGGGGGGATTTCTTTATTTCTATTTACTTCTATTTTTATTAAAAGTCTTCTTGTAAGAAAACTGAATGCTTTTTCATTGTTCTCAGATCCAAGGGTTTGGGTCTGTGGTCACCTATGCAAATTGGTGAGGCTTTTTATCCAACATTTCCCAGGAAAGGGGGGGTGTAAGTGTTGGGAGGATTGTTCATTGTTCTTAAGATCCAAGGGTCTGGGTCTGTAGTCACCTAGGCAAATTGGTGAGGCTTTTTACCAAACCTTGTCCAGGAAGTGGGGTGCAAGGTTTTGGGAAGTATTTTGGGGGGAAAGACGCGTCCAAACAGCTCTTCCCCAGTAACCAGTATTAGTTTGGTGGTGGTAGCGGCCAATCCAAGGACAAAGGGTGGAATATTTTGTACCTTGGGGAAGTTTTGACCTAAGCTGGTAAAGATAAGCTTAGGAGGTTTTTCATGCAGGTCCCCACATCTGTACCCTAGAGTTCAGAGTGGGGAGGAACCTTGACAGTTAGTTATTACAGTAGCGCATAGGGTCCAACTAAGAATGTTGCCCCACTGTGCCAGGCACTATACAAACACAGAGTAGTACCTGGTTCCTGCCCCTGGCCCTTCAACCCTACCCACCTCACAGCTTGTTCTGCTCCTTCTTCAGCAATGTGAGGCATCTTTTGTTTGGACAGGGGCCCATGGAATAGGAAAGAGGCACTCAGATTAGGGATTGGTGGGGTGGGAAGGACAGATAAGAGGAGCAGACCTTGGACAGAAGAAGTGGGACTGGATGGTATGAGGTAAAAAAACAACAATGTGAGCACCCCCAAACTGGGCAGCAGCATGATGGAGTGAGAATGAGAGACTGCAACAGGAGTGCTGTTGCTCCAGAGTCCAGTAGGGTTGGAGTTAGATCTACGAAGCAGCTTTCCTGCAGGAAGCAGCTCAAATTAACGTTTAAAGTGTCTAATGGTGACCAAAGGCAGCATCAGCGGGTTTTGAAATGAGCTGCAGGCATTGATGTTGGAATGGAAATGAAAATCAATTTCACATTAGCAGCCATCTATACGTGCATTAAGTTTTGTATTGTTGCTTTGAATTGGACAAGAATACAACATACACACAAGGGTCAAAAACCTCAAATAGTACTGTAAAACCCTGCAATGGACAAATGCTTGTTGCATTGACTTCGGATGTTTGATGTTACCGTCCTTTAAACTTTGGCAATGCTTATGCAGTCTGTCATTTCCCCTGCAGCAGAATAATTTGTAAACTCATTGGTGATGACTATGGTTTCACATGGTATTCTGATCCCTAATGTGACTGTGACATGAATGGGAGGTACCAAACTTGGTACTTTTTTCACACAATACACAATTAACCTGTGGAGCTCATTGCCACATGATATCACTGAGATCAAGAGCTTAGGATTCAGACAGGAACCAAGTATTTATATGGATATCCAGAAGTGTATTAGTAAATACTAAAGAAATAAGCATTTTTGAAAGGGATATAAACCTTCATGCTTCAGGGCTTAATTCTATTCTGTTCCGTTCTGGTTCTTACACCGCACTCACCACTGTAGTATCTGAGCACCTTCCAGTAGTGCATTAAGCAATGTGACTAACATCTGTCATTGTTAGTTCTCTCATCCTCTCCTCCCTCAGGGGGAGCAGTGTGGGGGGGTATTTTATTTTAGATTTTTTTTAATAATAACAATACATAAATACACTCATGTTGCTCTGTGTTTGTTAGAAAAGGCAAAGAAATGGTGTACAAGCTGGGGAGTTTTGTGATAGTCCTTAATTCCTGGGAGAGTTCATTCCACAGTGTTGGGCCAACCCCCGAGAGAGCTCTGTCTCCTCTCCACTGTCTCCAGCCTCTAACTATTGGGACTTAACTATTTAGGCTTTCCCTGGGGTAGGTTATCCCATAACTACCAACTGGAGGGTTTCTTGAACCCTCCTCAGAAGCAGCTTGTACTGACCACTGTCACAGACAGGATACTGGGCTAGATAGGCTAGTCTGAACCAATATGACAGGTTTCAGAGTAGCAGCCGTGTTAGTCTGTATTCGCAAAAAGAAAAGGAGTACTTGTGGCACCTTAGAGACTAACCAATTTATTTGAGCATGAGCTTTCGTGAGCTACAGCTCACTTCATCGGATGTAGCTCACGAAAGCTCATGATCAAATAAATTGGTTAGTCTCTAAGGTGCCACAAGTACTCCTTTTCTTGATCCAATATGGCAATTCCTACATACCAAATTTCCTATGGTAACTTTTAGAGAATGGGGCTTATGGTTACGAAATCAAAGGCAGGCATCATTTGAAGCTGCCGCCTCCCCAGGAAGCCCACCCACAATGTAAAATATTTTTAGGAACAAAACCCAACTGTTAGCGCAAGTTAAAACATCCTGCCATGTGAGAATTCTCACATCCTAATACAAGCATAAAGCACACAGCTGGGGATGCCATAGGGTGGTTAAACAGGGTGAGGCACATAGCACACAGAATAGTAACAGCCTGGTAAGAGTCTGTGCACAGGAACTGAAACATATAAATGACTAGGACCTGTTCTTCCACTCACACTAGTGTATATCAGGAGTAACTCCATCTTCAACGAGTACTACATATGTGCAAATTCGGGTCCTTTAAGTTCACATCTGCAGTGTCCACACTGGGAAGTTACCGTGCAGCACTTTGGTGCGCGCTGCTGTTCACACCCCTGAGTCTGAACTGCAGGGCAGTGTAGCCATGCCCTTAGGCTCCTAACTCACTTCGCTGCTTTTGAAAATGTTGCCGTTAGCATAGTCTTGTAAGAGCACACCTCAAGGTAATTATGAGATCTAATTTGACTCAATATCCTGCCTACCTTATGAGATGTCCGCCTTTTACACATGAATCCACAAATGAGGCAAGAGTGAGCAGCTGACACTAACTATAAAAGATTGGTCTTGAAGAAGACAAAATTATGTTCATTAATCAAGTTGTTGACTCTGACACTTGAACAATTCTCAGAGAACATCCAGCTTAGTTCTAAATATCATGGGCCTGATTGTCCTCTCACTTACACCCATATAATTTCCCATTGACTTTAGTATAGTTACTGCTGATGTGCCCTGCTGTGAGTGAGAGGAGACTCAGCATTCATGTAATCATCTCACATTGCCTAATGACAAACTTCTGAAAGGGGCCAAATTGGACGCTTGTCAAAGATAAAAAGAAAATGATCAGGGGGAAAAATATAAAAGAGCTGAGAGTCACTGCATTTGAATAGGGAATTATGTTGTTAAGTGAAGCATGCTAGAAAGAAGGTAATACGGCACAGAACTGTGCTAATTAGAGACATACCAAGCCCTTGCATACAATATTCTCAGCACCATCCACTTCTAGCAACTTTCTTCCTACTTAAAAGTTACCTGAAAAGAAATAATTAAACCAGGTTTGTGGCCCTTTTGCATCCTCGTGATATTACAGAAGGCCTGATACAATGTTTTCAAGTATGTTGTGTTTTTCTCTATTTGTTTTTACCATAGAAATACCAGTAATGTCAAGTCTTATTTTCCCTGCCTTGGAAGGAAGCTTCTTGGGTGATTCGTAGATTTTAAGCCTAGAAGGGACCATTATGATCATTTAATCTGACCTACTACATAAGACAGGTCATATAGCTTCACCTGGTAATTTCTGCTTCAAGCCCATTACTTGTTTGACCTAGCGCATGTCTTTTAGAAAGATATTCAGTCTAGTTTTAAAGACTTCAAGTGATGTAAAATTCACCACCTCTGTAGGTAACATTTTAGGTAGCAGCAGTACCCTGATCAATGACATTGCTACAATCTGGAGAAGGCTACAGGCCCAGCTGAGGGCAGTTACACACTTTCTGTTGGGGGATTGTGAGCACCTGGGTGGCAATCACTGGGCTAACAAGGTAACTGGGGAGAATATAAGAGGAAGAAACAGAAGGCCAGGGTGCAGCTTACAGGTTGGGCTGGGGCTGGGGTGCGGGCTGCAGGCAAGCGTACCCTTACTATAAACCTGGATTGCATGGTTCAGTACAGACCCGTTTACGCGTGAATCCGTTTAACGCGTGGTAGCACCATGCCTCCCAGTGCTACCTGTTTAACACACGGTACAGGAACTTGCTATGTAGCACTACAGATTTGCTCACTAACTCACTGACATAGAAATCAACAGGAAGTGCAGAGCGGAAACGTGTTGTACGTCTTTACCGCCGACTGGGGGGGCGAAGGGGCCGCGCTTTAAGGACGGTCCTTTGCTGCGGCAGTGCTGGGCTGCTGCCGGGGGTGGGTGGGGAGGGCGCAGCAACGTTAAAGTGCTGCCATGGCAAAGGACCCTGCAGCGTTTTAAGGTCCCTGCCCCCTTTGCCCCCTCCTCGGCCGCTGACGTGTGGGGATGGGGGGCAAAGGGAGCAGCTGTGCTGGCGATTTAAAAGGGCCCGGGGCTCCAGACACTGCTACCGCAGCAGCAGCATCCAGTGCCCCGGGCCCTTTAAATCGTCACGGGAACCCCGGGCAGCGCAGACCAGGTGGCCTGGAAGGGCTGCCTGGGGATGCTGACCCCTAACCACGCCCCTTCCGCCCAAGGCCCCACCCTTCCGGGGGCCAGAGCCCCCCCCACCCTCTACCAGTAAGTGTCCTGAGTTACTTTCACCCCTGTGTAGTAATAAATGTGTTTTAATTAGATTACACATTTAAATTTATATTCTTGCAAAGCGTCGTTAACAGATAGGCCTGCAGTATTTGGTATGCTGTGAATACGTATATAATCCTAGATAATTATACATGAATATATATAGATATCTTAAGATATTTCAGCATGGCTCTCTTAACCCGCTTTTTGTTAATACGAGGTCATGACGGCTTGACTCCCGACATCTGCGCGAAAACAGGTCTTACTGTATTACTATGTAAGAGAGGAATAAATACTCATCTCAGTGAGAGACAAACAGCCTTCTGTGTGCTTGTGAAACTACTTGACCTAGCCAGGGAGTGAGATTCACTGGGTAGTGCCAGAGGCACCCTGTGATACCCTCAGTGTTCAGAATCGGGGCCTTTTTTCAAGTCTGAATTTGTCTAGCTTCAGCTTCTAACTATTGGATCTCTTTATGCCTTTTTCTGTGAGATTAAAGAGCCCCCTACTATCAGAAATCCCTTCCCTATGTAGATAATTGTAGCCTGTGATCAGTTCACCTCTTAACCTTAATTTGGCTAAATTAAATGTAGGCCCCTTGTTCGAGGAGCTATCAGAGGTATCCTGATTAGACAGGTCTCTCTACACCAGGGTTTCCCAACGACCGGTTCGAGAAATCTTCCTGACGCAATTTAGGAAGGCAGCAAACTGGTCCCTGGTTTCAGAAAGGTTGAGAAACACTGCTGTGTGCTGGTTTTGAAGGACTGCAAATTCCATGATGCAGTGGTGGGCATCTGCTGGGGCTGGACTGAGCTTCCTGGGTCAGAAGCTGCTGCAGAAGGGTTAGCAGGCTCCATTTCCCAGGCAGGGAACTGGAGCAGAGAGCTGCTGCTCTGTGGGGTCTGGGCCAGGAAAAAGCTGTGACAGGGCCCTTTTGTTGAGTTGCCAGGGTTGAAGACACACGACCAAGGGTAAAACTACATTACAATTGACAACTTGTCAGTGTTGAGCCCTAGGTCATGGACTCCTTCGCCACAGCTAGGCACTGAGAGCGGCAGCTATTGGTTGTGCGGCAGATGACTGAGGAAAGAGTGAGTTACTGCTGAGCTACACTCTCTGGGTTTCAGAGTAGCAGCTGTGTTAGTCTGTATCCGCAAAAAGAAAAGGAGGGCTTGTGGCACCTTAGAGGCTAACAAACTTATTTGAGCATAAACTTTCATGAGCTACAGCTCGCTTTATCGGATGAATGCAGTAGAAAATACAGTGGGGAGATTTTATATACACAGAGAACATGAAACAATGGGTGTTACCATACACGCTGTAACGAGAGTGATCAGGTAAGGTGAGCTATTACCAGCAGGAGAGGAAAAAAAAAAACCTTTTGTAATGATAATCAAGGTGGGCCATTTCCAGCAGTTGACAAGAACGTGTGAGGAACTGTAAGGGGGAAATAGTTCTACTTTGTGTAATGACACATCCACTCCCCGTCTTTATTCAAGTCTAATTTAATTGCAAATTAATTCCAATTTAGCAGTCTCTCGTTGGAGTCTGTTTTTGAAGTTTTTTGGTTGTAATATTGTGACTTTTAGGTCTGTAATCGAATAACCAGAGAGATTGAAGTGTTCTCCGACTGGTTTTTGAATGTTATAATTCTTGATGTCTGATTTGTGTCCATTTACTCTTTTACATAGAGACTGTCCAGTTTGACCAATGTATATGGCAGAGGGGCATTGCTGGCACCTGATGGCATATATCACATTGGTAGATGTGCAGGTGAACGAGCCTCTGATAGTGTGGCTAATGTGATTAGGCCCTATGATGTTGTCCCCTGAATAGATATGTGGACACAGTTGGCAACTGGCTTTGTTGCAAGGATAAGTTCCTGGGTTAGTGTTTTTGGTGTGTGGTTGGTGGTGAGTATTTGCTTCAGGTTGGGGGCTGTCTGTAAGCAAGGACTGGCCTGTCTCCCAAGATCTGTGAGAGTGATGGGTCGTCCTTCAGGATAGGTTGTAGATCCTTGATGATGCTCTGGAGAGGTTTTAGTTGGGGGCTGGAAGTGATGGCTAGTGGCGTTCTGTTATTTTCTTTTTTGGGCCTGTCCTGTAGTAGGTAACTTCTGGGTACTCTTCTGGATCCGATGAAGTGAGGTGTAGCTCACAAAAGCTTATGCTCAAATAAATTTGTTAGTCTCTAAGGTGCCACAAGTACTCCTTTTCTTTTTACTCTCTGGGTTGAAGAGGATGTGTTAAGACTCAGTGTAGCTACATTAAATCTAAGAAGAAATTGGGGGGGGTGGGGGGCTTATGATATGGGCTCTTGCTTTCTGATATAACACATTACTGCCCGCTAGTACTGTGCAGCATAGGATGTCACAATACAGAATTGCCTCACTCCTCCTTGTTTCACTCGGGACTGCCTTTGCCAGACTTACTGAGTGCTGGCCTGAACTGCTGCCCACCCAGCACGCCAACGCAAGAGAAGGCCCAGGATTGTAAACTTAAGGGAGCGTACGCGCTCAGGGACGGGGTGAGTCTCTGCATAATGCTAAGAGTGTTGGCGAGGTGTATGTTGCCTTTGACTATTAGTTGTACTATTGCAGCACCACCTACTGACCAGGTACAATTGTAACAGTTACCCTATATTCATCTGTTGCATTTCCCTCTATATGTTGCTCAGATAACTTTTGGTGAGCACAGCAGTCATCTACAGAGTTTCAGGATCACATGGCTATCCATTACAGCCCATGCACATTTTGATGGCTCCATTCATGTTTCATTTGTCTTTGTGGGTTCCTTTTTTGTGGGTTTTTATGGCAAATTTATTTGCCTTTTGTAGACAGCAAAAAGAAATGGTTTTTTTTAGGAGGGATTTTAACAAGAAGAAGGTTGCTTGGTGGAGAAATTGAGAGGATGCCCGTATGAAAAGGGGAGGAGAAACCACAGTATGCATCCGATGAAGTGAGCTGTAGCTCACAAAAGCTCATGCTCAAATAAATTGGTTAGTCTCTAAGGTGCCACAAGTACTCCTTTTATTTTTAAGGGATGGTTGAGGCTTGTGGTGTTAGTGGACTAGAGGGAGCTGGGGTGAAGTAACACAGTAGAAGACAGGGCAGGGTGGTGTGGTGTGGCAAGAACTTGAATGCAAGAGCAAGGAGTTTGAACTAGATACAGAGGATGAAGGGGAAGCAGTGAGGGGAAATTCCATGGGACAGTTGCTTGTGAGAGGTTCCCAGAATTGTGCCAATGTTTATAATTAAGCAGTAATTATTAGTTATTATTATTTATATTTAGGTAGCATCCAGAGTTCTCACTCAGGTTTGGGACTTCATAATTCTGGCCCCTGTGCTAACAGATTGGTTAAAAGAAGGATCTTGTCCTGAAGATCTTACTTTGAATCCTGATTCTAAGAAGTGCTCCTTAGATCTATGATATTATATTGGTGAAGCCTATCACGCCTTCCGATTATAACCAAATTGTGCTAATAACTGGTATCCAGGTGAAAAAGATCACGGCGTAGCAGTATCCATGTTAATAAAAGTGCAAGGATTGTGTCTGGATTAGGCAAAACCACAAAGGATTGTGGGATTAGAATCAAAGAAAGAAACAGCACAGCTGCAAGTTTTGGGGCCCCAGATAGAGAAAGGGCAAGAACTCCGCCCTGTCCTTTGCCTGCTGGGGCCCTGATCCTACAATGAACTCTGTGTGGACAGATTTCTGCTGAATTCAGTGTAGGTTACATCAGAATCTGTAGAGTCAATGGAGCAGTACATGAAGCTCATTCCAGGAGCAGTGTTAGTCTTAAAAATGGTAGTAGTAGATTTCAGATAATACAAATGCAAGTATTAAAAAGGTAGGATGAAATCTTGCCCCACTGAAGTCAGTGGAGTTTTGCTATTGACTTCAAGGGAGATAGGATTTCACCCACAGTCTAACAAATTTTGAAGATGCAATTACAAACACTTTGAAAAGGTAGATGTGAGAGAAAATCTTCTGTGCACTGGGAGTTTAATTTTACATGTATATTAGCTGTTTTAAAGTTCCATGTGGCTACATATGCTTTTTTAAGCTTTAAGTCATCTAAATTTCAACAGTTCGACTTTAGCTTTGGTGGTCTGTATAGTACAACATAGTTGAACTGTTTTATTCAAAGCCTTTCATCACTCCTAATTGAGGGTGGGGTTTGCTAACTGGAAATAAAAGATTCATAAAACTTTCAAAATATCTGGGAGATGAAATCATGAATTTGTTTAAAAATGACTAATATAAGACAGCCATAATAGTGTATAGTATATTACTTTTGTTGGTGGAAGGGAGAAGCTTTTTTGTTTTACAGAGCTAAGGAGGAGCTGTGGGATCTTGGGACCAACACTGTTAAAACAGCACTGCAAATATCATGCAAGATAGGACATTACAACTGATTTGATTTTGCTTATTTGGTGATATAAAAAACAATTGTTTTTTTGATAAAACTGTGTGCATACTGATTTAATGTATACCTGCCCCCAGTGAGGGTAATTAACCACTTACAGAGGGATGTGATGGAATCTCATGTAGATGAGGTGGTTATCTACAGCTGAGATTAGAAGGAACACCCTCGCACAATTTGTCATCGTACTTTGGTCCCTATAGAAGGCTGGGCTAACTGCAAACCCAGCAAAGTGTAGGATAGGAACAGAAGAGACAACCTATTTGGGTTTCAGAGTAGCAGCCATGTTAGTCTGTATCCACAAAAAGAAAAGGAGGACTTGTGGCACCTTCAGAAAAGGAGGACTTGTGGCACCTTCAGAAAAGGAGGACTTTGACTCCCTCAGGGAACTGATGGGCAGGATCCCCTGGGAGAATAACATGAGGGGGAAAGGAGTCCAGGAGAGTTG